AGGACGGTACGCCAGAAGAGACAAAGCAACGTTCACACGTTGGAAACGATGATCATCGGTGAGTTTGTGAGGCACCCAAACACCTTTTTTTATGGAGTTTTCCCATATTCCTTAGCTTGTATTGTTTCATAAGTGTATTGCCTTGGGTTAGACAGAACAAGCATCTTCAGAGCATCAATATCAATTCCAATCACAGTTTTTAAAGCTAAAGTCACCTGAACGAAATTTGCTGAACCATCGTTGACACTTACGAATGTTCAAAACATTTTCATAAACTTCTTTGATTTTATTTGTGGCTACAGTGGCGTTGTTTCCCTTCTTGTATTCAAACAGCATGACATGACGAATGTGTACCTCGTCGTGTGCCATCACTACAAGGGCTTAGAGTATACTAAACTTTGCACGTTACATAGGCTACACTAACGTGACGTTAGGCGGTTTGTTTAACTATTGTACGTGATGTACGTTTTCTTTTTTTTGGGGGGGGGGTAATGAAAGTCTTCCAAAACGCGACATTAATTTCTTGTTTGTTTGTTTTTTTCAAAAAAGTGTTATTCAGCAAAAGTTTGGAAGTTTCACAACTTAAAAATTATAAAAATCAAATCAAATTATGTTTTTGTTTAAAGTCGAAATTAGATACAATATAATAATTTTTTCATAAGTTTCGTAAAATTTGATCAAATATTTCCATGTGAAAAGAAAAAATATCAAGGGATTTCAATGACACCTTCAACACTCCAACCCTTGGGTAGATCTGGAAAAGACTGGGTCTATCAACCACCGTGATGAATCAAAACTATTCTAACATTTAAGCTGAATTTGAAGGCAGAAGTTTTTTATTAGGTAAGATAGTTTTTTTTTTAATTTGTAGCTATCCGATTGATTTTCTAACGAAGATTACACGCTATTTCCTAAACAACAAAATCCAACCACCAACCAATGTACACACCGTCCCTAGTTTTTCCCTCATTATCTCCCTTCCATTTATGGATTCGCAATCCCCACAAATTAAAAAAGCAACTCTCTTCCCTAATAAAAAACTTCTACCTTAAATTCAGCTTAGAATAATATACAAACCTAGCTTCCGTATTAAACACTTGTTTCAGTACAAAGATCAAGTACCTATTCTAACACCTGTTTATTACGTTAGGTCTATACCAAAGCCCTGGGTCAAAACTATTCATACACCTGGTTCTTATTTTAAGTCTTGCAGTTAATGGTGCTGTTAAGGTTAATATAACAGCCAGTGAGGTAGAACAATGCTATTGTAACACCTATTTATTATGCTAAGTCTAGCAACCAATGATGTGGGCCATGGTTAATCTAACGCCTTTTTCTTTTACTAGGTCTAGCAGCCAGTGTTGCGGGTCAAGGCTTTGTCTATCTTTATGAGAACCAACAAGAAAACACACCGAATCCTTCAAATAACTTATTCAATCCTGATGATTACGTGTACAAACCGCCTTCGGCTGTGAATCAGGATAATTTGCCTCCACGGCAACCTAGGATATCACTTCCGGCAACCCGTCGGAGGTCATTTCCAGAACATCCTGAAGATCAACGACGAAGAACACCACATCAACAAGCTCGACGCTTACCTCCTCAATCTTCTGAGGTCCAACATAAGCCGATGCGATCTCCTCCAGCTCGTCTACCTCCTCAATTTCAATCACCACCAGCTACAGATCCTCCTAGACAAATCCAAACTACCGAAGTCCCCACAGCAAGGTTTTCTGGCCCACAAGCAGGTTTTCCAGCATCTACGACATCAACAGGAAGGTTCTCAATAGAAGATACTTATGCTTCTTTGGAAAGGCGTGTTGATGAGTATGACAAAAAACAAAGAGAGCAGAAACGTTTCCAATCTTCCTTCGCTCCTTCTGCACGAACGCGTTCTGAAGGAAGACCCATTTCTACTAATTCACAGTCTGCAAGACCCCAGCAGGACTATAACACATACTCTCAACAATATCGCAACATACAGACTCAACCCGCCAAGCCCCTGTCACGTACCAATACTTATCAAGAACAATATAATAACAATCAACATAGACATACTCGACCTGCTCAGTCATCACAACGACATAACACTTATCAAGAACAATATAATAACAATCAACATAGACATACTCGACCTGCTCAGTCATCACAACGACATAACACTTATCAAGAACAATATAATAACAATCAACAAAGACAGCCTCGACCTGCTCAATCATCACAACGACTTAACACCTATCAAGAACAATATAGCAACAATCAACAAAGACAGACTCGACCTGCTCAGCCCCTGTCGCAAACTGACATCTATCAAGAACAATACTACAACAATGAACAGAGACAGACTCGACCTGCTCAACCTCAGAGACAGGCTAACACTTATCAAGAACAATACAACAACAACCAACAGAGACAGACTCGACCTGCTCAGCCCCTGAGACAGGCTAACACCTATCAAGAACAATACAACAATCAACAGAGACAGACTCGACCTGCTCAACCCCTGAGACAGGATAACACCTATCAAGAACAATACAATAACAATCAACAGAGACAAACTCAGCATACTCAGCCCCAGCAAGATGATGATTACTATCAAGAGCAATATAACAACAACAAATATATAGAGGATCAATTTTCTCAACCCCAGCATCAATCAGCTACCTACCAACAGCAGTATGCCAACAACCGGAAAATTCGTGCCTCTAATCATGTCCACCAAAATGATTACCAGACATCTCACACATCTCCAAAAGCGATATCTCAAAATTACAACTCACCACAACCCTCAATATTTGCAAGTCAGCTACAGTCACCAGGCCTTCCCGCTTCCACAATCGCTGGTGGTGGATCCAAATCTTTAGAAGAGTTCTATGCTGAGCTCGAGAGAAGTGTCATAGAGTCACAGAAAAACAAAATATTTTACAGCAGACAAAGTCAAGGGTGTCTTCTCAGAGAGCCGGATATGCCCAGACTGCTCAGACAAATTCAAAATACCCGGCACAATATTACACCAGTAGTGACGTGTCTAATCATCCCAGCTATACATCAGCCTTTCATGACCAGTTTCATCAGGATGGTCTGTCGACACCTAACCAACAGTCAGTTAGCAACAACAGACGATCACGACAACAGAGAGTTCGACAGAGAAGAAGTACACAGCAAATTCACACACCTGCAGCTGAGGAATACACTGATTATAGAAGATTCGCAACTTCTGGTCGTCTTTACAATACTGGTGAAAAACCTCTTTTATCAAATTATCTTTCAACTCCAATGGAGGCGGCAAGGGAGACACAATGGAACTCATATGAAGCGAATAGCAACTATGTAAATTTGGCTGTCAGTTCGCAACATCCAGATTCTGATGGAGATGGAATACGTAATGATTTTGGAGTGGATTATTCCATATTGATCTCCATTCCCCAAACAGACAACAACTTGTTGGGCAACATAAATATTTAAAAACTTCTTGTTAGGTAAGAAATGAAGTAACTTAAGTTTATCACAATGTCAAAATATAATTTTAAAATAAATTTTTAAATAAAGTAAAATTTTGCTGATTTAAAACCTTCCAATATTTTTAAAATTCTATTGCTAAACTTTTATTTTAATTCTGTTTATAAGGAGTTGCCAAAGTCAATGATTGCAAGTGAGGCTTGAATCTAATCTTTGTTTTATAAACAAACTGTGTATAACAACCAATGATTTTCTGATAAACACCATTTGTATTGAATATTAAGATTTTAACCAGTAACCAAATGTTCATTCGAAATGCTCAATAAAGTCAAAACATTTGACTCTCCCCGAATATGATCTCTAAAATGTTAATGTATGTAATTAATAACATTGTATCTTATGGAAAACTTTAAGAACATTGTGTTGCTAGCTTGTGTGCCTTTCACCCTGATATTAACTTGATTTGATTACGCTCATGAATGATTTTACATCAATCACGTTTCTTTCTGGAAATTTTCTGGTGATTTCAAGAAATGAAAGTTATTAATTTAGGACGTAATAACGCATTCTATGTCATTCATTTTATTACTTATGAGTCATTTTTGTAATTATCACATTTATCGACATTTGTCTGTGTTGATAGGGGGTGCACCTGTGCCAAATCGGAGGGGTCGAGAGTATTTATGTTTGGCCAATCAAAACCATCATTAACCAAGCGAAGTTATCTTTCCATTGGTTGTACAAAGTGGACAGTGCTAACTAAATCTGTAAGCTTCTACCATGTGAGAGACGGACTGTGTAAGGTGTTCGAGTCACATAAGAAAGATAGACGAATAATTTAAGATCCAAGACCTAACTAAAGCAGCAAAACATTTTTCTTCTCATACAAAATATGTAATATAAAATATTATTAGTTATATGTTTCTTTCTAGTGTATATTTTATATGAACATTTATAGTCTATCATCACAAATACAAGTTAGGAGTTTAAGCAGATTTCTTTTCCAACCTATCGCTGAACAAAAAAATGCATTTTTTTCTTTTACTTCTAAGTTATTCTAGTACTTACTATAGCAACGTCATGCTACTCGCGTTCCCTCAGGTCACTTATTATTGTTCTGTAAAACGTGTATTTTCAACGTGTAAACAGTGAAGAAATATAACAAGTCAAATTTGTAGGAAATTATAAAGTTTTAATAAATATCTTGATTTCGATTTGTGTTATAATAAAAGTTTGCACGATTAGAGCATATAAAGCATTTATTTTAATTGTTCAAAAAGTTTTTAAGGAATTAAGTCTTACTCGGTTTAACAAAATGAAGCTCAACATTTGTTTTTGTATAGCGGGAATGCACAAGTCCACAATTAAACAATAAATATTTGTCAGAATAACATCGCTGAACCTAGATCCGTTCTTAAAACAAAACTTTCAGTCATACTTGCAAAATGAGCTTAATGGTAGTAATAATATATTGAACGCAAAAGCGAATACAATGTCATCTTGTGGTGAAAAATCTTTAACATAAAATATCATAATTTTTGATTAATTATAAAAGTCTTTGTAGATCTTTGAAGTGCGAAGACTGTAAGTACAGATTTAAAATAGTTTTATAATCAGTATTCAACTTCTGACTGTCAATAATGAAAACTTAACCGTTGCATCATCACGTACTCGTATTAAATTTTATTGTATATTGGCTTTTACAAATTGATAAGGCAAAGCATTAGATATGATTTATGGGATATTTGAAAAGTAGGATTTCTCAACATAAAGAATTTTCTTATTTCTGAGAGATAATAAATTCTTGAAAAAGTAAACCTCAAAGGTGAATTTCATCATGAAAAACCATTACTTTTATTACTGTTATTTTAACGTTTTTTAAAACATATAGTTTTAAATTTTTGAACTGGATGTTTTTAAACACTTACAGGCCTTATTTATGCTAGTATTCTAATGCGCTTCGCTCCTTAGAATTTTAAATTTAATTTTTTTTTATCACACTCTTTCTCTGTCTTATGCTTAATATAAATAAAGATGTTTCAGCTGGTCTTTACCGGGCAGTATTTCTTTTTTAAAACCTAAATAAAGAATTTACAGCCGCTTTTAAGAACTGAAATCTTCACTGATTATGTAACTTGTTAAAGAGTATGACGTATACGTACTAAGTAACCCTAAAGGAACTGACTCTTTCGTAACTTTGGAACAGAATAGTAATTACTAAGAACTTTTGATAAAAAGTAAGCTATCTGTATGAATCAAAACCAACATAAGTTTAAAGGTAATCTATAAATTAATGATGACAATCCTATATAATAAATTGGCTGAAACTACTGAATATCATAAAACAACACACCTGAAATCATTGATTAGAACACATTAAATCGTCAGTTGGATACCTTCGCTAGAAACAATACTTACGGCCGTAATACCAAGGACGTCGCATTATGTAAGTCAAACTAGAAATATTATATTAGTCTTAAATCCAGTTATTAAGTCAATATTGCAAAATAATATAGGTAAGTATAATATCAATTTAAAGTTGATAAAACAAACTTTACAGAAACAAGTTATTACTTACCAAACAGACAAAATATCACTTGATTGCTATTAGACAGTTCTGTAACTATTAAAATATTACATGAAAGCACCCACACAGCATTTATTAAAGTGTTAACTAACTAAAAAAAAAGAAGAAGAAACTTGTATTTGTTTATTTTATTGAGTTTATGAGTGGAGAAAATATTTTTCCTCACGCTATGATTTACGACTTAAGAAACTATTATAAAATAGACCCCAAGTGGCACAAAAGTAAATCTGAAGGCTTATAACCCGTGGTTTCTATGCCCGTGGTGAACACAGCACAGATAGCTCCTTGTGTAGTTTTGCGCTTAACAACAAACAAACAAATTATAAAGTAATGTTTTATGATGTTCATTAGGCCTCGATTTAATAAAAACAACTGTTGTCTTTCACAAGCTTAAGCTAATCTCATTTTCAGTTTAACTTTCTTTTTTACTCTCTTATTTTATTTAATGTACAGTAAAAGTATCATTTTTATCAGCTGGTGCCACGTTTGGGAACTAATATCGCCAGTATATTGTGTTAATAATTATTTAAATAGTAATTTTTTAAATGGTGAGAAAATTCGCACACAAAAAAGTAAAAAGCTTTTTCAACTACTTTATCAAATTTTAACTTGCCATACGGATAACGAATATATAATAAAATATTACCTTAAATATAGAATCATTTAACCACTTTTGGTTTCTTGTAGACCACTTTAAATACTTACAATTGTAGACCTTTACTTTATGTTTTAAAAACACAAATATAAATATTTATTAAGCCCCCTAGTTCTACCTTTCATAAAGATTTTAGACAATTTATAACATATATATTACCAAAGCGTAACATTCAATATACTATAACTATGGCCTTAAAACACGAAAGCTGGAGAAAACTCGGAAATCTAATAATCGTGTTAAAATTAATACTAGCCTGCATATGTTTTTTTATTTCAACATTCTATTTAATTTGTCAACTGCGGATTTCAAATTAATGTCTGTACACATAGTATTTCAGATTTTTTTTTTTTGTCTTCTGTAAGTCACTGTTCAGAAAGCCGTTCGAACTTGTCAGCTGGGCTTCATGATGAAAAATAGAAATGCCCCTGAAACTTTAAAACTACAAAACATCTTTAAACACCAAACTGAAAGCTGGCTAAGCATTAGAAAACCCCATTCCACCCCCAATGGCACAGCGGTATTGTCTACGGACTTATACCGCTAGAAACCGGTTTTCGATACCCGTGGTAGGCAGAGCACAGATAGCGCTTTGTGTAGCTTTGTGCTTAACTACAAACAACAGCATTAGAAACTTTAAAAAACTAATAATCAGGATAAAAAAAATTATCATGATTAATAACGGTAAAGTTTCTCGTATACTTAAACAAGTCAAACCATCATCCACAACACAAGTGTACGGCCGTTATCTATTGATTATGACTAGTTGTAAATGCAGGGTACATGTTTCGTGATTGAATTAGATGCATGCAGCCGCAACTTGAAAATATATCGATATACAAAGAATTATAAAAAAGACTCTACAAGTTTGGTCTGTATACCAAACGTCGTCTAATGATGTCCATTTCCCTCAGCCTGTACTTATACTAGTAACTCGCTCCGAGAAACCACAACATGTGAAAGAATATTCTACTTATTTATGAATCGCTTATGCTCATTTGGAGAGAATATGGTGACGCATATGGCTGTTGTGGAAGTATAGTTTGGGCAGAAGAAAATATTGCAGGTGTACTGACGTATATAGAGTGGTATCCAGTGTTCGTTAACTCCATACCCTTACAAACCTTTTCCCTGCCATACGCTGATGCAATTGGCCCTGATTCGGCTTAAACTGATCTATACATTCCTTGAAAATGAGTGAATTAACCAAATGGAGTAGCCATACATTCACCAAACTTCAGTTTATAGAGCATGTATGGGATGATCTTATGGGACACTTTCAAGTAACTTGAGACTCTAAACATGCCTTGGAAACAGATCTTTTAAAGGACGAGTTGTGAATTTATCAAGACTTTATGAAGCCTGTAATTTAAGCTTGCAACGTCGATGCTAGTCTATCCCTCCTGCCTCTATTGATCATACACTGTATTAGAAGGAAATTTCATGAACTTAGGAGATGTAAAGCCACCTCTACGAAACACTCATTAACGAACGTCAGCTCAATAACAAAAATTTGTTTTTCAGGTCAGATAACAGATCATCAGATATTTGATTTACAAAACAATGAGCCGAAAGGGTGATTGATATTATTTTACGACAGTAATTTTTGCCTTTTAATTTCTAGAATATTGTAAATTCCATTTATCCTGAAATTGTTAGGCGAAAGATAATTCTTAATAAATAAATAAATAAAAACATTTTCACTCTATTTGTTTATTTCTGTTAGAGCAAACCCACAGTAGGATACCTGCTGTGTCCATCAAGGGGAATCGAACCCCGGATTTTAGACTTACAAATCCGTAAACTTACCGCTATCCTACTGCTATTAATAAACAGACCTCGTGTGAATAAGAAAACTTATCCAGCTCTTTTAATTTCTTTTCCAACAAAATTCTTATGCTTGTTTTTATTGTTTGGATCCTATTAACTATTGTAACCTTTGTGACTTTGGTATTAATATCATGTTATATAAGCCAATTAGGGAAGAAGCTGTACAATTTTGTTAAATGTCAGTAAACAAAATCTCTAAATCTCGAAGACAATAATTACACTCAGCACTTTTTAGAATGGTAAAGCACTTTAAAAACATCTAAAAATAATAAGACACGAGAAAAACATTTAATATCACTTCTTATAGCTTAGAAGCACATCAAAACACTTTTTTTTCTGCAAAACAAAAACATTAAAACAGTTTTTACAGTGAGAGAATGATTAAAAAAAGTCCTGTAGCAATTGAACATAATAAAAGCATCACGTGTGTTAATTATACACAATAAAATATTTTTACAATAACAAAGCAAAATAAATTATTAAAACAATTTAAAGTGAAAAACATATTTAAACACTTTTAGTGATAAAGTACAAAACAACAATCGCTACAGTAAAAAAATACATTAATAAAATCTTACAATAGAATAATATATCAATGTATTTCTTACAATAAGAAAACACATGAAAACGCCCTTAAACCTAGTGAAGACACTACAACATTGATTTCAGCAATAAAAAAACACCATAACACTTTTCAAAGTAAGAAAACGTTTAAAAACAAATCTCACAGTACTTCTTTCTCGGTAATAGAACCCATTAACACATTTCTTACAGTAAAATAACACATTAAACACTCCTTATAGTAGGTTTGTTTTATTTTGAATTTCGCGCAAAGCTACATGGGGGCTATCTGCGCTAACCGTCCCTACTTTAGCAGCAATATACTAGGGGGAAGGCAGCTAGCCAACACTACCCACCACTAACTCTTGGTCTATTTTTTCCAACGAATAATGAGATTGACCGTCATTATAACGCCCCCACAGCTGAAAGGGCGAAACCACAGATTGCTAGATGACTACTCTAACCACCAAGCCAAGCTATTTCTGTCTTGCAGTAGGAAAGCATTAAACACTTAATAGCAAAGAAAATTCGTTAAACTATTTTCTTAGTAACAGCACACATTAAACGATTTCTTACAGAGAAAGAACTCCTTAAAGCATTTAGTTTTAGTGAGAGAGCACATAAAACACATTTCTTAGAGCGACAGAACATGTTAAAATATCTTTACCGTGAAATCCGCATATTAAACATTTCTTATAGTGAAAGTACTCGTTAAAATATTTTTTACAGCGACAATACACAATAAACCAATACTTTGAGTTAGAAAACTCATTCGAAACACTTCTTAAAAACGAAAACAATTGTAAGTAGTTCTTTCAAAGGGAGAGAACATAATAAACTATACTTACGTTAAAATAAATTGAGTACTTCTTTCAGAGACACACTAAACTTTATAATAATGAAAGAACACGATAAAAACTTTTTACAGTAATAATAAAAAATATTTTAAAACACATTAACACACCACATTCAGAAACATTGTCCATTGAAAAATGTTTACAATAACAAAATACGATAAAAATACCTTTTATAATAAGAGAACACATTAGATTGTTTTTGTTTTTTTTCAATCGCAATACATGTTTAAAAGAAGACAGTTCTATAAAATGATAATTAATTACTCGAGTTTTTATTCTTTGGACTGTTAACTAGCGTACCTTTGGTGGCTTTGATTACTACTATTATCATCATCACTATCATGTTATATAATGCAAGGGGTTAGGGGTTTGTTTGAAGTAAAGCACAAAGCCACACAATGAGCTATCTGTGCTCTGCACACCACGGGTATCGAAACCCGGTTTCTAGCGTTGTAAGTCCATAGACATATCGCTGTGCCATTCGAGGAGGGGAGGTTAGGGGACAAGCAACAATACTGCTACTGTTTAATTGTACTACTATATATATATGATATTAGTAAACAAAACTCTAAATCTCAAAGACCATATTAACATTACATTGTTTACGAGGCTAGAACACATTACCATATCCCATTCAAAAACAGGACAATAGAAATACTTCTTAGAATAAGAAAACATATAAGAACACTTATTCAAAGCATGTTAAGAAAGACAGTTCGCAAATGCAATTGTCACAGTAATAAACATATTAAAGTCCTTTTTGCAGTGAAAAACATATGAAAATGCTTTCAAACGAAACAGAACAAACCAAAGTACGTCTTAAAGTAAATACATTAAAACACTTCTTAAATTAAACTAATATGTTAAAATACTTCTCACAATAAGAAAGCAAATTAAAGTTATTGTTTCAGTATGAAAACAAAATAAAACATTTTTACGGTAAATAACACTTATTAATAGAATTCTCGTTATAAACATTTCCTACGGCGGATATAACAAATTAAACACTTATTACAATGCCGGAACCCACTGAATAGTTCTTACAATGCTAAAACAAATACAACAATTCTGTTACTCAGATAACCCAATAAACACTTATTACAGTAGTAAGAAACAACATTAAAATATTTCTTATTACATGCAAATAGATCCAACATTTCTATTAGTACAGTAGTAAGAAAACATATTAAACTACTTCTCATAATACGAAAATATACAACATTTGTGTTAGTACAGTAGTAAGAAAACACATTAAACTACTTCTCATAATACGAAAATATACAACATTTGTATTAGTACAGTAGTAAGAAAACACATTAAACTACTTCTCATAATACGAAAATATGCAACATTTGTGTTAGTACAGTAGTAAGGAAACACATTAAACTACTTCTCATAATACGAAAATATGCAACATTTGTGTTAGTACAGTAGTAAGGAAACACATTAAACTACGTCTCATAATACGAAAATATGCAACATTTGTGTTAGTACAGTAGTAAGAAAACACATTAAACTACTTCTCACAATACGAAAATATGCAACCTTTATATTAGCGAGAGAACACAATAACACTAATTACAGTATTACGAAGATGCCTTAAAGTACTTCTTACAGTACGAAAGCAGATACAATATTTCTGGAAGAACACAATAGCATACTTATTACAATAGTACGAAGAAACATAAAAATAAAAACATGTTTTACCGTATTCTTGTTGAAAGAAGATTTATAGTGTATTATATTATGTGAAAAGTATTTTGGAACATTTCTCACAGTAAACAATCACATTAAACACTTCTTTCGTATTCACACTGAATAGTTACTATGTTGTTCCTAAATATCTTACACTAATATCTGCATAAACATTTCAAAAATGTGTTTTAGTTGATCTTATAACTATTGTTTTCAATTTAGTTTTACATCGGCAAAAATAATACATTTTTTATTGAACTGAAGTAATAGCTATCTCAAAATTGTAAAGAGCGGAACATAGATTATCAAACAATTCTGTTTAAACAGATGAAATTAAACTTGTCCAAATGTAACAAACTTTCACGTGTTTTCTAACCTACGATACATAAATAAAACCAGTTATTTTTATTGTAACACCTGTCACAAACTTACAGCATCCAAGCCCTTAAGATAAAGTGAAATGTCCTCTTTTACAGTGGGAAAGTCAGAACCGCCCCTTGGTTCCCTTGTAGCTTTTGCTCCTGTTTATCAGGGATCTTATGAATAATTCACTCAGACCTATTCCAAGAACGATGCGCTCCTTTGACCGCTACTATCATCCACCTCAATACTGCACTTGGAACCTTGTGAAACCGCGGTGTTTCTAGGTAAGCTGTCAGTGGCGTGTTTTATTCTTCTTTCCTCAGGCCATGGGCCGAGTATGTTTTCTTGCTGATATCTTTATTTCTCTTTGTATTTCCCGTTTAATGTATGTTGATTTGACCTGATTTTATTTCCTTTTACACTTTCACTGCTTGGCTATTTTGCTACTCTAAGAATGTAGTTCACCGTGGTTTACTTCAGTGAATATTTCATATGAAACAGTAGGACTCGGCTGACATATTTGGAACGAACTCTATAGCCTCGAGGAGAAGAATCCGTTCTGGTGAACGGGGAGCTCTTCTTACGCCTAAAATGTATTCCAAATTAGGTAAGTGGTTAGCATTGTGTTAAGTATAAAAACGCCAGCCACACACACGTAGTTTAAGTCTTAACACCCAGCCATGCAGTTTCTTATAGTTCTTCTAGCCGTCTCTTTAGGCCTATCTCAGGTTAGTATTAGATTAACTAGTATCACATATTTTAGTCATATTTTAATCCTGCTATACGTATTACTGTACGTAACTTCACACTTTTCAGCAAGTACTATAAATATATCCATAGTAGTTAGTATTTTAATTAAGAATTGGGATGATATAAAGCTCTCCTCCAGAGTGTAAGTGGTAAGCTTACAGACTTACAATGCTGAAATCCAGGGTTCGATTTTCCGTAATGGACATAGAGCAGATAGCCAATTGTGTACATTTGCACTAAGAAACCCAATAACAACGACATAAAGCAATAACATTACCATTATTTGTAAAAAAAGATGTATTCTTAGCTGTCCCATTACGGGATTTCCTCCAAAGTTGGTCTTATACATCACATAATAAATTCTTATTATTGCATTATTTTTATCGATCACTTACTTCGGACAAGTTAAACGTAAGATTAAAAAAAAGAAAGTCTTATGCTGTCAAATTCAACGTTATACACTGTATTGATTAGATAATCGCTATTTGAAAGTTAGCTTAAGTAATTATTATTTTATGTAACCACGAATCTGCTTCTTGCTGATCTTGGTTACGTACTCAGAAATCTGGAGTATTATACTTTTCAAAAGCTCCCTCTAACGATTTGTTGCATGTAAAAATATAAGTTGAAATTTATAATAATTAAGGCATAAGTTATAAAATATGCAATAATCTAATAATTTTTAAAGATGCCCATAGCTCAAAAATGACTAGCAATGAAAAACTTACGCTCTGGTCATTATCATACTAGAACTAAAGAACGAGCAATGAAAAACTTACGCTCTTGTCATTATCATACTAGAACTAAAGAACGAGCAATGAAAAACTTACGCTCTTTGGTCATTATCATACTAGAACTAAAGAACGAGCAATGAAAAACTTACTCTTTGGTCATTATCATACTAGAACTAAAGAACGTTCTTTAGTTCTAGTATGATAATGACCAGAGCGTAAGTTTTTCATTGCTCAAGCAATGAAAAACTTACTCTTTGGTCATTATCATACTAGAACTAAAGAACGAGCAATGAAAAACTTACTCTTTGGTCATTATTATGCTAGAACTAAAGAACGAGCAAAGCAAAACTTATACTGTAGTCATTGTCATACTAGAACTGAAGAACAAGCAAATCCAAACTAATACTGTAGTCATTATTATACTAGAACTAAAGAACAATCAATACAAAACTTACTCTCTGGTCACTATTATGCTAGAACTGAAGAACAATCAATACAAAACTTATTCTCTGGTCATTATTATGACACACACACTGTAGTCATTATCATGCTAGAACTGAAGAACTGGCAGAGCAGAAATTACATTTTGGTAATTATTGTAGAAGTGAAGAAGAGACAGGTCAATTGCATCATAGTCCTTTTCATGATAGAACCGAAGCACATGCAGAGTAATATGTTATGCTCTAGCAGCTGTACTTATTATTATAGAACAAAGAATAGACAGATCAGGATTTACAATCTAATTATTATTATGATAAAACTGAAAGAAGAGAAGAGCATATATTCTAGTCAGAATAAAGCTAAAACCGTAGAACAGGTCGGGGAACTAGGATTTGCACTTAACTCCTTATTATGTTAGAACTAAAGAACAGGTAGAATAGAACGAACATTTTGCCTGTATTGTGCCAAAAGTGGTCAATATTTCATGCAGTAGTTATATTTTTGATATGTATGTTTTTAGCAATTAACAATTCATTTTCTTTTTGTATTCATAAGCTGATATTTCATATTTAACTAGTTAACATCCTTTCGTCAAGTTTGCTGTATTGAAAAACATGGACAGTGTCTTTCTTTCTTTTTTTTTCTTTGTGAAACTTTTAGGCTGATTACGGCGACCCCTCGAGTTTTGCTATACCTTTTGTGTACGGACATCACCAAGAAACGATTCAAACACTTAATGGCAAATCAGAAGTGGCTGATGCAGCGATTCCCGCGCCCTCTGAACAAGACCCAGATGGTGATGGTATCGTTGGTCAAGCAGGAAGTGATTACCCTGTGCTGAATGAAGTTCCAGATACCGGGTTTTCATGTAAAGATCAGCTTCCCGGGTACTACGCAGATATAGATACTGGATGTCAGGTGAGACCAAACTCAAGTGTAAATAGAAATACATTGAAGTATCGTCTATCTCGTCTTTAAGGAAGAGCAATGTGATAGCTTTATTAGGTTTTGGTATTAAACAATGGAATATTTTCGTTAACAGTAAATACGAATACTAAAAGAGTTTGGAAATCAAAGTCAGTGATTGCAAATCAAACTTAGTCTCAACATTATTATTTTACCTTTGATAACCAGATGTTTAATTGTAACATCATACAACTACTTACTTGAAGTTTGTACACTCACAGAGAAGTACTTACGTGGTCTTTTTAGTAACTTTACAAGTTAATTAACAAGTACCATCTTAAGATTAGTTGAGAACTAGACAACCTGTGACCC